CAAAATCTCCAGGTATTTCTCAACCTAGAGCTCGCAACCCTAGATCCAAGCCAAATGCCTCTTCACCAAGTCTGCTATACAATGACAGAAGTCCAGCAGATGCTGATTCCTGCCTATAATCAGACAGGCCTATCTAGGGTTGACAAGTCCTATCAGGCAGCTGGAGGGGGGATCCTGGGTCCATTCCTGGATCGCCTGCCGCATGCACAATGACATCACCCAGAAGTGCTGTCATCAAGTCGCCAATGTCAGGGGTGGTGACATTCTAGTTTTTCGGCAAAACTCTGTTACCACAGTTTTGCCCAAAAACTAGAGCAATGCTGATAATGTGATGACATCACTTCTGGGTGATGTAATCACATTGCCTTCTGGGCCAGCTGGCCGATGGCAGGGAAGCCGCTCACAAAAAGCGGAGGTTCCCCTGCCCCCGGTGGGGGTCTGGCAACCCTAGGCCTACCCGCTGCCATGCATTGAGTTTGTCAATGTATGATGGCAAACGCTCAAATTACATTTGTAGTGCCCTGCCAAAAGCCAAATCCTAGCCTGTCAGTAGATGGTATATGACAAGCTAGATGATGTGCAGGGATCTAGCATATGCAGGGTTTTCAAACATTTTTCCTGGAGTTACTATTTACCCATTTTTTAAAAATCCATTGTTTCTCAGCCTTTTGGCTGAGTAAACAACATTCTCTCTTAAAAGTCAATCTGGTCTTATCAATTTACAATCTATCAGTAGCTTGATAAAAACTGAATGGTAAAATAATCAAAACAGCAAATCTAAGGCCTTTTTTAGACAGCAGCAGTTTCCTGCTTAGCCCTAATCTGGAACTAGAGGGGAAAGGTAGTGTAGGATTTTTGCACACAGCTCGGACTGTGCCATACATGTTTATTCCATGGATCTGTGGTTTAGACTAGTAGAGATTAGCATGGCCTTCATGTAGTTTGCAAGTACTGGGTACAGTGAATCAGCACGCTGGAGTAGTTTTTATTTGGAAACGTCCTTTGTAGTAAGTTTACTTAATGAAGTCCAACTTTCCAACAGCAGCATTATAATTCTATTTTAAATAAAAAAATCTACACAGATAATGATAGGCTGCGGTCACACGTAACAGAAGCCACACAAGTGAGACGGAAAACAGCCGGAGTTTCCGGGCGCGATCTCACCAGCACATCTGGGAAGCGTAGCACTCCCGTGGCTCAACCGAGGCTTCCAGCCGAAACTGCGTGGCAAAAAACTAGTACCTTCGAGGTACTAGTTTCCGGAAACTGCGGGGCAAGGGCGGGCGTCTGATCACGTTTCCGGTGGCATCCGGCGCCCGCCCATGTCCCCTTGCAAATAAGGTGGGGTTTTTTTGTCCAAGTCTCTGTGGATGCGCATGCGCACCCAACGGAGCATGCGCATTTGTCATGTACACAAAAATAAAAAAGTTTGCCGCAGCGCGCGCTTCTTTGTTGCGCGCCGGCTTGTCCTGTGATCGGCACCTCTCCCTTGCCATGGAACCTCCACAGGACCTCCACAGGAGGTCTGATCACGTAACTGCGCAGTAGTTTGCCCCAGGGCAAACAGCCACGCTTCTCCTCTGCAGTTTCCTGCCCGTGTGACCGGGGCCATAGTATAGTAACACTGCTGTGAAGCCAGATTTTTTACTGTTAAAGTCATTAACTTGCCAAAAAAATCTAACCTGCTCTAGTCCCTCTTAGTGGTATTTTTCTGCAGAGAAATCAATAGGTAAAGCTTTGTTTTCACACTACGAAGATCACTCTCAACGTGCTATTTGTCAGCAATGTGAAGGTGCTGATAAGGGCACAGCTAAAGAGGCTTGTGACCCTACTACTTGGATAACACCTAGATTAGATGTATAAAAAGGGGAGGTATCAATATTGAAAGGGGTGACATGGAAGTAGCCATGAAGCCATATCTCCCCAGATTCAGACATTAGTGACTGAACTCATAAATAATGGAGATACATTAAATGTGGGAAAACATGCAATTAAAATTTATTTTAGTAGGGAAGGAAGTAACTGTACTTTGAATTAAACCTGCTGTTTCCAACACTGTGAGGTTTCTAGTAATCAGTTTTTATTTGGAAGCGATAATAGCATTTTTATGCTGTTTCTTTCTGTATCTGTCTACTGCAAGCAGTACTCTCAATATGCTGTACACTGTTTTAAAGTGTCCTGGTTGACAGAAAAATTAATTACACTTGACTTCTCATGATAACTGCATTTGTGCTCTTACAATAGAAACCCAACAGAGTAAAACATTGGCCATGTCTTCCCACGTTAATTTTCCCAGCCACATTTAGCTCTTTATGTTGCATATATGTTAAGGCTATTTAATCATCCCTGACCCTGATGACAGTTATTACTGAGAAGTGTTTCGGTCACAAGGTTGAGTGCACAAGGTTACAAGTAAACACATTCTGGTATGGTATGACCACAAAGCACCTATGGTTAAACTTTTCTTAAGACTACAATCCTAGCATGTTTAGTAGAAAGCAAGTCCCACCAAACTTAGAATGGTTTATTTTGAATAAACATGCTTGGGATCAGGGTACAAGAAAGCTAACTGCATTTAAAAGTAAGAGTTTTACCATTGTGAAAGATAGCAAAACTAGTTCTGTCCATATAGCTACAATTGTTTTGGAAAGCAAAAAGGTGGAGCAATGAAATACAGTACATGGTTGTTGTTTTTTAAAGGCGGCTTAAGGGGCCAAGCATTTTATTAACTTAATGTAATTATTTCAAGGTCTCTGCAATCTGTGAAAGCACAAGGAGCCACTGACTGAAATTACGGGGCTTTTAAGTAGTGAATAATGCTCCTTCAGTAAGTTTGGAGGACTTTAATTGCCTGCTCCCTTTGCTTGAAGACAGAACTGCCTGTAGCAGACAAGTCAAGTTCTTCTCCTCTCCTTATGTTTAGGCACACTAACTTGTACCATAACATCACCTTGTGAGTTTCCTTGCCTTGCCACTAAAAGAATGCACATGGTTTGCCAAAACAGAAGACTGATTGGGGAAAGAACTTGCCTCAGGATGCTGCCACTGAGTCAGCCCCATGTTGAGTGTAACAAGTAGCTTCACCCTGAATCTCACCATCTTTAATCTTTTAAAACAGACAAAGGGTTCTTTGAAATGTCCTCCATATTTGTAATCCCAGGCACATACAGACCTATTTTTAGTTTCATGCACAGCTTTAGTACTAAATGGCAACCTGCATTATCTAACTTCATCTCAGTCTTTAAATTTGTGAGGAAAATTATATTATCATGGAATTCCTTTGTATCTGAGGCCCAGAATGGGAGCTGAGAAAACATTACTGACTCTATAAACCAAACAAATTAATTAGGACAATAGCCCAGCATACTGCCTGTCAAGTTGTGATGTTCTTTTGTGTTGCTTCCAAACTTCAGGGAAACCATAACACACCCATATGTTAAAATGTAGAAAAAAATTGGAAATGGTGTTAAATGTGTCCTATGGACTCACAAGACTTTTAAAAACAAATGTTCTTTGATATACTTTGATATAGAGAAGGCCTCTTTCTGATTGTACAATTCCATATGCTGTGTGTGTGTCAGGTGTGTCTGAGAGAAAATTAGCAAATGGGTTTTTACTGTCAGCAAATACCCCACCTCAAACTGCAGCCACATTCAAACAGTATTTGCAGACTGAAGATAATTTGTATGAATGGAGTGAGTTGGGATGGAATTAGTTTTACCTACCGATAAAGCTTTGTGAACAATTTTTTTAAGATGAAAAAATTGGTGCCTTGTATCTAATTACATTTTGCATGGGACACAAGTTTAACGTTTTTGGGGTGTTTTTTGTTCTCCCAAATCTGTGTCTTTACAATACTTTAGTACCATTGGCTTTTTTTACATTTCATATCTGTATGTGAATGGGAAAAACAGTTTCTACCAGCAACTTGATATATCTTACTGTGTGTCTACACATTATTTCTAATGCAAATGACTTGCTCAAAAGTAGATCATAGTGTTGGTTTTTGTTTTTAATCTTGGTCAGTAAATACTTTTTCAAATTAGGATTACTTCTCTAAGCAGGTACTTTCCCCAAGTACTATGTGTGGTGTGGAAGGTAAAAAGCTCCTGGAGTTCCTCTTAACAGCACTTAAGAAAAGGCTCATAAAATCACTGGTGCCTTGCAAAGATAACCATTTTCTTTACCATGGTACTACTACAGAGTTCCTATTAATAGAAAAGCAACCAATTACTCCTTGATGTAGATAGCACTACACACTGAAAATGCATATATATAGTTGGGCTTAGAGAAGCTAAATTTTACTTTGTAAAGGTGCTTAGCAGATAATCCAGTATCTGCTGAATATTGCTTTTTGATATCAGAGCCAGCAACTGCTCTGAAATGTGTCTAGGAATATCTGTTAGTGCCTCAACTAGACAATGTAGGCACAGTTGCAGTGTTTCAATATGCAACTACTGAAGGAAGTCATAAACAGACTGAAAAAAATACATTTAACTCACATTGCAGCACGGGAAAAAGACAGTTTAAACATACCCTCAAAGGTAAAGCAAAATACTGTGATGTACATTTGCAGAACATGTCTTTCTTTTTTATGTTTAATATACAGTAACCTGGAAAGAGACTTGAAAATGTACAGTTAATTGGAAGAATTATAAATCAACTGTTTAAGAGCACGGATAAAGTGAGAGAAGTAGTATTCACAGCTTCTGCCTATCAGGATGTCCTGCTTATTACCACAGGAAGGGGAGGAACAGGTACAAGGCAGCTCAGTTCCCTCACTACCTTTCAGTGCTTTTAAAGGATATTCATTCATATGATTGTAACCAGCAACCTTGTATCGAATAAGCAGGTCTTGCAAATTCAATTCCTACAAATCCTTTAAAACCCAAAATAGGTTAGTAAATCTGCTTTATGAAAAAATGCATTATTATTAGACTGAATACTGAATTTAATGTTTTGGCATCCAGTGCTGTTCTATTCAAGCCAAGAACTATTTTGTAACTAAGGAATCCAGTATGTAAAACCTTGGGGAAACAGGCTTTCTAATCCCATTAAGGGTTTTACAAATGGCTCAAACTATAGAATGCATCCTTATAGCTACTGCATACAGTTCCTGGTCCAGATTTTTGGAGAAATGTGTTTTTTTAAAAGATATCTGCAATATCCCAACAGTCAACACATAGGAGTGGCATTCCTGGGATGAGCAGCAAGAATAAGGTCATCAGTGAGCCACAAAACGGGAGCGTGTCTGCTACCCATATTGGCAGGTGGATAGATTTGAGTTTGTAGCCTCCTCTCTCCTACCACTACCCACCAAGAAAGGCATCTGGCTCCCCTCAATTGCTGCCACATCTTATTTTTGAGCGTACTGTCTTGCCCGCTGCCTCCAGCTTCAATACCCCTAAGAACATAGAGACAAGCATAAATAGTCTTTACCTGGTATTTAACAGCAAGGGTGGACTAAAAATTTTACATTACTGAACCATAAAACTTATTAGAGGGTTGCTTAGTGAAAATTTCAAAGGCAATATTGGATGCTAGAACTAAATCTTAAATGCAGCAGAAACTTAAGTTCAAACATAATAAATGCAGAAGTCAGGCATGAACTGAACCAAGTGTAAAGCTACAATCCTAACTCTGACCAACAGACACAATAATTTAAAATCGGAGTGCTAGTCTAAAAAAGTAATTGGCAGTAAACCGGTTACTTCATTTTCAAACACTGTGTAGAATGCTGCTATTATCTTTAAAGTGCACGGCCAAGTAGATTTCAAAAATCATTGGGTGCAAATATAGATCAAAAGAACTGTTCAGGAAAAGGCAGCACCTTCCAATATCATCTCCTCAGCTTCACCATAAAAGGTTCAACAGAAGTGCTACAAAGCCATGCATTTTTCTTAATGCAAAGTTACTTATAACTAACGTGTTGGAAAAGTAGTCTGCACCATTTTATCTCGGGGGGGGGGTCTTAAGCAGACACCGATACTAGTGACTTGTAGGAATCTGACAAATGCTACTACCATGTGTTGTTAAACAGATTCACTTTACACACTGGCAGCATGGCTAAGCCTGTCTCTACTACAAGGCTTTTTTATTATTAGGGTAATTGTGGAGGACATGGGTTGTTCAAACTTCATTTAGCTGACTCATACCAACTCATCACAGCTACTGGTCTTTCACATGGATTTAACAGCTTGTAAATATCAACCAACCATCATGAAACAAATGCAAAGCAGCAGATTGAAACTTTCTGTCAAAGGCAAGAAAATTAAGGTTTTGTGTTTTTTTTAAGGTGCATTACCTGGTTTTTGTTCCATTCAAATATCATCACTATTTCTGACAGGCAGATTCCATCCTCGTAGGACCAGTTCTCTTATTCCCTGTGGTGGAATCTGAAGTCTTAAGTAGAAATGCTCTGTGATCTATTTAGTGCCCCACCCACCCCCAGAAGAAGAAATTGCTCTAATAATAATTGTATAAAGGAACTTTAAAAGGCTCATTGTGGTGGCATTCTTCTGTGAAAGAAACAGCATCCTGATTCCTCTTTTACAATACTTCATTAGCAAGTGGTTTCCTGTAACTTCAAAGGCAATAGAAAGTAAGCTAAGGCACCGAAATGCTATGCAACACTAAACAGTTTATTTTCCACATAAGTCATGCAATCAAAATCCATAGCACCACACAACCATTATGCTGGCAGAAAATTGTTCATAATTCAGGCTCACCTAAGCCTTTTAAAATGTATTTTCCCTATGGATAGCTGATGTCCTACTTAAACACATGAGACTGGGGCTTGTTACTTCCTCTTTGAGTGTGAAATATGAATCATGTTTTTATGATTTTTGTAAATCTTTACTCTTTTTACCTTGTTTTTGTAAGCTGAAATTTCCTATTAAAAAAGAAAAAGATCAATGCACTGCCATGTCTTTATTTCATCTGTTTGTACATAAGTTAATTTCATCTGTGAAAGTTAACATGGTTTAAATAAACTAGCTTTTGACAAAATATAACATGGTGCTAGGCTGCCACTAGAGTCAACCATTGTTCCCCAAGCACATGAACTTAATGTACTGAAAAGAAGTGTACACAGTATTGTTACAGAGACTTTTTCCAATCCTCCTTATTCGTATTTGACTTCTAGCGCTGCTGTTGCCTCAGATTCTTTAGAGCAGGCACCATGTGAAAGGTAATATCACAGCTTAGCGATCAATCACAACTCATTTGGTCATACAGCACGAGGGAAAGTCTTCAGGCTTGATGGAGGTCTACTTTCTTTACATCTGTAATCAAGTATTATAAGAATTAGAGGGGAAGTAGACAGCTCAATAGTTTCCACTCAAAAAGCATAACCTCCACCAACTGTTAAGAGTTGTGTAACCCCATGTTTATTTTCAGATTTCTAGCTTTTATTGCCATGTAAAGTTGTCTGGAAAATGTCAAGTGTCTAAAACACACACTATTTGTTTCCCCCCTCAAATTTCATATCCAATAGTGACTTAGTGATGTAGCAATTTGGAGGGAACTTGTAGGATGGAGAAATCTGTGTGCTTTCCATAATTCCACACCCTTCCAGGAAATAATAATATGAAGAAATTACAGGTGAATGTTTCAAGCCCATCCATTTTAAAGAATACAACATTGCTTGCTACGCATTGTCATTTACGGGTGGTGACCCAGAGCTGCTAACATGCATACATGAACACAAAATCCAAGGTAACATCTCTCTCTCTAGGCAGACTTGGGGAAGTATAACATACATCAAAATGCCTTCCTTATGGCATGTATATTTACCAAGCCCTTTTTTTTTTTACCTAAACTGTAACAAGTGTTCAGAGTATCTCTAGAACTTTTAGTTTTGTTTAGGTGATGCCAGAGAAATCTGATCCCTTAATGTATTTTATCAACAAGGACCACCATTATTTTTTTTCTGTATGGAGTTTCCATCAATAAACATAAAGAGAAAGAAATTACTAAATGGCAGTCAAAGGTAAGCCCAAGTTAATGTGATTTTCAGTTGTTCAGTGTCAAAATGCAGGTTGAACTAAATTAGGATGCCTCCTTTTGGACAAAATTCCAGATTTTGGAAATTTCCTTAGAACAAAGTTCAAGTCCAGTGGCACCTTTAAGACCACCAAAGTTTTATTCAAGGTATAAGCATTTGTGTGCACACACGTCTTCAAATACAACGAAATGGAAGTTAGTGGTCCATACATATAGGTCGAAGGTGAGCAGTGAATTAGCATGCAACATTATGAAGATGTTTAACAGAATCTGTTAAACATCTTCATTATGTTGTATGGATTGGTAACTTCCATTTCATTGTATCTGAAGAAGTATGCATGCACACAAAAGCTTATACTTTGAATAAAACCTTGTAGGTCTTAGAGGTGCCACTAGATTCAAACTTTGTTCTGCGACATCAAACCAACAAGGCTGAATCTATCTTTATGAAAATTTCCTTGAAATTTAAGGTACTTTAAACTATGTTTATAATTTTGAAACAGACTTGGAACTAGAGCTGGTTTTAATAAAGGAACAGAGAAGGCGGAGGGTGAATAGCTTCAAAAGTGGAAAAGTTAGACAAAGGTTCTAAACCAATCTTACGTAATAAACAATTATTTTGTCAAATAAAGGGGACAACACTCAGTCCTCCCAAAATTTGAGGCACAACAGACTAGTTTCATGGGCTTGCATTAGGAACCTAAGAGTCTACCCAAATCACTTGTTTTAACAAGCTATGGCTGCACAGAACATACAATGACTCAATTTATTCAACGCCTCAATGAACTGTTAATGCTAAGTGGTTTACAGTACACCCCACCCGCATATACTTGGCTACTCACCTTCTCTGCTATGCAATAGGCTGGGGTGCCATCAGATCAATGTCTGTTAAGTTCTTGGCTACCCAAACTCCCACAGCAAAGAGACCCAGGTTAACTATGAGGTTCCTGAAACAAATTCAGAGAAATGTTTAGTGATTAGCTGAGTCAGCAGATATCACTGTCTGCTTACACAAGAGTCTGCTGGAGGATTTCCTGCCTAGAGATGTTAATACTAGATATAAATGTGTAAGGAATGGCACATAATCACAGCTGAACAGTCTTTCTAATGGCTAAACATATGCCAAAGCTGCAGGGGAAGAGGATGCACAGTTCTTTGCTACCTGTTGAGGAAAGCCATGCTGGTTAGAACCTGTCCATATTGCCCTCCCTCTTTTCATGTAGTTAATGAAGTATGCACAAGGATGGAATGCATTTGTCTGCTCCTGCTGCTTATTTTCTATTACCCGCTGTTAAATTTTGCAAAACTTAATTATATGATCAAGTGGAGGAATAAGCAGAACATAGCATACGTTTGGATATCCAGTTTTCCCCTATCAGATAAACCCTGCACAAGGAACTGTAAACATTCATCATTTTTGTTTATACACACTCATTTCAGAAACAAAGTAATTTTCCTTTAAAATGTGGCAAACTTTTATTCCAAGAACTACAGTTCTAGACTAGATGATAAACTCCACAAACTCTACAGCCATTATTTATACAGAGGAATACAGCTACAGAGACTAAATCAATTAGGTCACAACATTTGTAAAAGGTGACCATAAATCTGTGTCCTGAATGGAAAGAGACACACAGCTCAATAACTTCACTATAACCACAATGAAAAATATTAAATATTGATTATTGACATCCAGGGACAAAGGAGCTATTTATTTCAGCTATTCTGCAAAAGTCAAGTCCTTAACTGAATGACAACAGTCGTTTTCAACTTTTCCACAACTGGAATTCACCTTCATCTCTAGGCATCAGCATGGGATCACTTGAAGGGGCAAGCATATGGCATGAAGTCATGGGACAGGAAAATGGAGGGAACAGTCTTTTGCCTGACTTAGAGACCCCCCTCCCCACAACTGACCTCGACTTGTTGTGCTGCTCTTCTCATTGTGCATACAAAGAAATGCAGAAGGCACAAATGCCCTTGCATTATATGTGTACCCACCAGCAGGAGATTTTCCCAACAAACAATGCATTTAAAAAGGCAACTTGTAGAAACATATTTTGCAGGTTGGGCTCCACAATCCACTTAAAGATCACTGAGCTACAATACTGCAATTCAGTCTATGCAGGCTTACCCCTGAGACTGATCTGGAAATTGCAGCTGGTACAAAATGCTTCTATGCTCTATTAACCAACGCAGTGCCCTTCAGGTGGCGATTTTGTTTCCAACATGCACACCTCGCTTGACCTTCAAGCCTTATTTTGTAACAGCCTCTAAGGCTCCCTTTTTTCTACCTGCGGCCATGCTTGCATGCGTATTTTACAGAACGACCTCTAATAAATGCAAATAGACTCCATTCCCTTATTTAAGTGAGCTCCAATAGAGAATTAGTTATGCCACAATAAAACTGTTAAGATTTTTAAGATGCCACAGGAGTTTGTTGTTTAGGCTGGCAGAACTCAGCGCGATGGGCAAGCTGCCGTTGTAACGTATACGAGCCACTGCAAAAGCCATTTAAGACACGCAGAGGGCCACGATTTATAAAGCAGCGAAGACCAAAGAACAGAAGTCTGCTTAACGCCGAACACACCACCCCCGAAACACTTTCTGCCCGGCGGCATTTACTGTCTCGTCCCTTCTGCGGTGGCTCAAGTGGTTAAGACGCTGAACTGCAGGCTATGGAAGGCCGTTCAGCAGTTCAAGACCCGAGTGTGCCGCATGACGCAGTGAGCTCCCGTCTCTAGTTCCAGCTCCTGCCAACCTAGCAGTTCGAAAGCAAGAAATTGCAAGTAGATAAACAGGTACCACTTCGGTGGGAAGGTAACAGAGTTCCGTGCACCTTGGTGTTTAGGCATGCCGGCCACGTGACCATGGAAACGTCTTCGGACAGCGCTGGCTCTTCGGCTTTGAAACGGAGATGAGCACCGCAACCCTAGAGTCAGGCTCGACTGGCTTTCGAGCGAGGGAACCTTTACCTTTTACCCTTCGCTTAGAAACGCAAAGCAAGGCACACCTGCGGAAATCATTGCGGTCGGTGGCGAAGCGATAGACCCCCCGGACCCAGCCTCGCACTCCTTCGGGTGTCACCGCACCAGAGGAGCCTCCGCTAGCTCCCCCCTGCCCGCTCGGAGCCATGCCCGCCGCCCCCGCCGCCACTTCCCTTCAACGCCAAACGCGTGCTTTTCTCAATGCCGGAATTGCCCTCCGGCCGGCGCGGACAGTAACGTCAGTTCCGGCGAAATTCTCCACGTCAGTTCCTAGCGGGTCGAGGTAGAGGAGAGCGCTGGAAAAGGGAATCGCGAAAAGCGACTGGTTACTGGAGCGAAACGCCCTCCCGGCTCAGCTTCAGAGCCGGAGAGATCGCGCGCATCCCCGAAAGGAATCCGGTTCTTCAAATACGCCTGCGCAGCGTTTGGCCGAGGTCTTTTTCGGTCTCTTAAAACCGGCGTCACAATTACATTTTCCTACGACATCCGTTAACCTGGTTGTCGGGGGAGAGAGGCAGAAAATGGCTGTGAGCAAACGGTAGGAAGCGGACATAGTAAGGACTGCGTCACTTGTGTGGTTATCACGAGCACGGAGCTGCGGCAATAAAGATCCCCTTCCCTTCCTGCAAGCAAATAAAGGAGAAAATAAAACTCGTAGCGCCTTAAAAATTACACTCGTTTTATGCTTTAGTAAATCTCTACAACCCAGTAGGTCCTCAAGAGACCAACAAGGTTTTCGGGTAAGCTTTCAAGCGTCAAAGCTCGCTTTGTCAGATACGAAGGGAGTTTTGACTATGGGAAACTTACACCCCGAAAATACTGTAGGTTTCTTAAGGTGCTACTGGACTCCAATCTAGTTCTGCAGAACGAGTGGGCTACCCTGGGAAAACTATCTTTAGTAAATTATCTGGTAGCCTTTGAACCTGCCACAAGACTCGTTTTTCATTTTGCTGTCACAAACTGACCCTGCTATCCTGGGGTGTGTGGGGGGGGGGAGGGATTGACTGTCTTTCCTTTTAGTGTCACTAGATGCCATAATATTGCCAATGTCCCATAAATAGTACTGATGTCTAGACTACAGAGATCCATTGCGGTGGAGAAAATGGTTGTTTTGGAGAGTGGACATTATACCCCACTGAGGAACCTCCCTTTCCCCCAGGCCCAACCCCCAATTGCCCTAAATGCCCCCAAATGCAGCCACCAGGAAAGTCTTTCCTGCGTGTATGCAAAATCAGCAGTCTTTCCTATGGCTTACAGTATTTTATCAGCTTGTGGCACATTTTGTTTCTTGTTGCACAGATGCAGTAGTTGTTAGCATCAGGTAACACACTGATCTTGGCAACCAAAGCATCCTTTATTATTGCTAGCAAGCTGTACTTGTTGTGTTGGAGACAAGGGGATCTGTGAATATGAGAGCAAGTGGATCAAATGTTAGCCTCTCAATAACTGCCTCCCATACACATACTCTGTCCCTATTTGTAGTTTTCTGCACATGTGTTTGTATCTGACAAAGAATATAACAGTTCTTACATCTGAGGAAACACACTCTGGCTCAAGAAAGCTTATATTATAATACCTTCATTAGTCTTTAAAGTGACATAAGATTTTTTTGTTTTGGGTGCAGACTAACATGACTACTCCTTTGAAATTTGTTGTTAAACAAGGCACCGAATCTAGCCATATGAAGTGGAAATCCATCAGCTTCACAAAAGAGCTTACACAGATAGAAATAGACATTAGTTATAACCAACATGAACCGAACAGAGCTGGTGAAATTGGACTTTCTGCCTCCCATTCCTACTGTAGTTTGTTGTGCCTCCAAATATTGCCTTTCTAGGAGCAGCACTGGACACAATGTGCCCCCCCCAATCTGCAATGGGGGACGGATCTGATACCATCCCCATCTTCATCCTGAGACTCTGCAGAGCCGCTGCCAGTCTAATACTGAACTGAATGGACCAATGGTCTGATTCAGTATAAGGCAGCTTCATGTGACAGCAGACAGAAGCATCCTTCCAGTGATGGGAAACAATCATGCAATACAAGCCATCTTTTATCCCAGTGCAAATTGTAGCTGGACATCATACCAAACAGGTTGAATCTGACCAGCATCCTGGGCAGCAAAATGGAACAGATTAAGAACCAGAACTGGACTCTCATATAATGAACCAGCCTACCACAGATTCTTGTAGTTTACAAATCTTTTCAGATACAAGGTAAACCACCTACAGAAGGCACTTTGCTTCTCTACAAAAAGACACCAAGCTATCCCTGCATGTTACGTAGAGTTACAATCAGTGTTCCCTCTAAGCTGAGTTGGTCTGAGCTAGCTCAGTTTCTTAGCCTCCGACTCACAGATTTCTGTCTTAGCTCAGGAAGGACGGCTCCAGAGCAAAGTAATTTATGCAGTAGCCAAGTTGCTCACTCACAACTTTAATGCTAGTAGCTCAGAAAGTAGAATTTTTGCTCACAAAACTCCACAGCTTAGAGGGAACATTGGTTACAATATAGGTACCCTCAACCATCCTGCAATATTGTCTATCTAGTCATAACATGAGGCATACAGAATGGTTATCTTATATGGGGAGCCCTCCTACCTACCAGAGTCACCCAAGGGATGCAGTTCTGCAGTTATCTAGAAGTATATTTCTACCATCTCCAACTCAAAAGAATTCTTTCTCTGCACCACTTACACCAAAATACAGTCCATTAGTAGACATAATTGTCACTAACCAGTGGGGCAAATATTGGCTTCCTGGGGCTGTTTCAGGTCAAGGAAATGGTACAGGGGAAAGCCCCCTCCCTCCTTGTATTACCTTCCTAATCCAAACTGAGCCCATGTCTGATTGACAGGACAGATATGCAAGGGACATATGCACTTACATGCTTAGGCCTGCTTTGCTACTTCATCCTACTTTGCTAATTCTTCAGTGGTTAGTGGTCCTTAACAACTATGACTGGACCATTTCCCTTTTTTGACTAGACCTTGTCTTAATCTGTGCTCTGCAATGTAGTAAAGCACACATGTAAGTAAAGCTTACTGAATGCAATAGTTCAAGCATCAGACAAAATGGGCTCTGAGTCACAAAACGGTACACTATGCCACAATGAAATTGTGAAGGAACAGATTCGCAAAGATCTCCTGTTCCTTCTGGGGCCTGGGAAAAACCATGTGGCTGTCCCAAGTCTACACTTGGTGCCACCATCCCTTCCCCTCATTTCCCATGGTTGCCACAAAAAAACCCCCAAAACCCTGGGTTCCTGCTGCCACCAATGACTTTGAGACCATCTCCTGCTGGATGGAGTCGTATGTCTAACACTGTGTACCCGTGTTGCTGTTTAAACAAACTTAAGAATTCACACACAAGGCTTGTTCTACTGGTGTATACAAATTTAATTTGTCCCAAGATTCCCAATGAATTTTAATACCCAAAAGAATTCTTCATTGTGGAAAAATTCTATAAATATATTCTCAGGTGCCAACTGTAGGATTTCATATTATACCTGTCTCACATACATGCATATTCCTATATGTTACCATGGACTCTGAATAGAAGCTTGGCCTTTGGGGAAGGCCTGCCTGGAGCTTTTGTTTTTTTCCAGCTTGCAAATGACCGTCTTCTCCAGTTACTTGGAGCAGTGTAAGAGGTCATTGCAACTTCCCTGTCGGAGAATAACAGCAATATGACCCAAGGGGCATTGTGCAAAATAGATAAACATATTACGATGTTCTTGGCAGAACAATCCAGAGGAAAGTTTTGAATATGGGTGTTCTGTACCCGGAGAAACCGCGCACGCAGTTGGGTCCACATGTGGCCCTGCGAATGGCCCAAGCTTCGCTTCCAGAGACCAAACTCCCTGTCGACTGCGAAGTGTGTGTGATTAAAAATGATATATTTTGTCCTCCCTTACCCCCATCATTGTTAGTCCCGTGTCTACACAGGAGTAACTGTAAATCGCTCAGAGCCGGCAGCTCTGCAAGGATTGAGCGATCAATAAATTGAAAGATAAAAAAAATAGCCCGAACGGATTCTAGGGCACGTCTATTGGATGGCTAGGATACGAGAAGGGACCTATGGGACTTGGGTGCACTGTAAATATCCTATCACAGGTGTGTGTGTGTGTTGGGTGTGGTTTACTACAGGGATATAAGCCGGCCTCCAACGTGGCCACTTCATCTCAAGTTCTCCTGTATACAATAAAGTATGAGCTGAAATCACTCCTCCATGCATCAGTCTCAGTACTTTATACTGGCGATGAGGATGGGATCCCGATGAGCGAGCCTGACTCTTCCTCCAGCTCAGCACCAAGCACCGATCCATCGGAAGCCGCCGTGCCCCGCATCGCTCATGAGCAGCACCGCAATGTGCAATGCTCCCCAGGACACCGCTCCCTGCTTTGCTTGAGAGTCATGGGTGTCACTCTGAGACACCTCAAAGTCTTCGACCCCACACACCCCGAGTTCTGGAATCGTGGGTAGACCAACTGACCAGCTTCTTCACCTACCACAAGGTCACCGACGCAGGCAAGAAATGGGTCTTACTCCTCAGCACATGTGGGGTGGCCACCATCCACCTGGCCAAGGACCTCTTAGTGCCGAAGAAACTAACGGAGAACACGTACGATGAGATCGTCAAGGTCCTCACGAAGCACTACATGCCAAAGCCCACTATGATGGTCAAGTGCATTGACTTCCAGGCACGCCTCCAGAGGCCCAGAGAGACAGCCTCCACATTCATGGCCAAACTCCGTCAGCAGGCAGTGGACTGTGATTTCACGAAGGTGGAAGGAAACATCCTAACCCAATTCATTTGGGGCCTTCGAGATGCCAAACTCCGCCGCAAACGTGTAGGTACTACCGACCTGAAGTTCAACACACCACGTGTTCCCAGCTGCGGCGTCCGACATTTCAGACGAAGATGAAGTCTTGCTCATCTGCCAGCCCAGCTGCAGGAAGCTGCCTACACCATCGGGAGCATCCGGACACCAAGATAAGTCTGCTGCCCAAGCGCCGTGTGCCAACTGTGGAGACGCGCACAAACGTCGGACGTGCCACTTCCATGACGCCGTCTGCCGAACATGCGGGAAGCAAGGCCACATCGTCCACGCCTGCCGTTCCCACGGTGCCCAGAAGAAGTTGTCCACTCACCAGGAGGACCTGGACCTGCACACGCTGACCATCAACCAGCACCAGGTACTAAATCTGCCCCCTGATGCCCCTAACAAAATGCATGTT